AGCCTACCTTTTACCTATAGAAACAATAGTTTGGACCGACAACGAGCCAGTGTGACGGACTTGCTGCCTAAAAGACGAATTACTTCACTGCGTTTCCTGAGTTGTTTCTTTTTTTCTTTTTTTTTTGGCTGCTGCAGTTGAAAACGCACCATTTTAGAAGTGAGTTTTGAATATTTCCGTTTTTTTTTTTTTTTTTTTCAAATGTAAGGTTGGCCTTTTCGTTAACCGCAAGCCATGTACTGAATATTTAACACATCGGAAAAGTCAATGCAGAAGTCAAAGCTCAAAGAAACCGTAGTTAAAAAAAAGATTAATGTGAACTACTCTTTCGGGAACTATTCCTTCGTGAACTACTCTTTTGCAACCAGTTTCAAATTTCAGGGTGAACGAATCGGTACTCTTTTCCAAAAATCACTCAGTATTTGCTGTGCGGAAGAAAGCTTTAAGCACTCTTACGTATTATACGTATATATGTATGTATGTATGCATAGGTATATTGATGAGTATATATATATATATATATATATAATTTTCCATTTCCTTTGTTACTTACCTGATGTGAAATTGTGTCATCCATTGGTATTGTCTCTTGCAATTTTAAAGCTTTCTCCTTAATCCATTTGATTTGATCACGACTCTCGCAAATTTCAGTGAATTTAACCAGATTTGGTAAGACCAAAATGTGATTGTGCTGAAAGAGTGAAGGATAGAAAAGTGAGTAAATCGACGAACTGGCAGTGGAAGGAAAAATAAACGGAAATTATTTTACAAATCAAAATCGCTTGAACTCAATTAAGTTAATCAGCACTTAATTCGTTTTCTTACTTAATTTTAATTTTGATAAAAATTTCGAATGAAAAATTAAGTTTTTGCCTAAAATTTTGATTTGTCAGAAATTTGAAATAATTTTTTTTCAATAATCTATAAGTGATAAATCGATTAAATATGAATAGTATTTGATTAATCAATTATGAATTCACTTAATCAATTTGCAAATTATTCGAAAATCGTTTTCAGAAGTAGTCACTGCTTGAGGACTGTTCCAAGAAGTAAAAAGGAAAACTCATTTAGTTAGTACTTTAGTCATAATAAAACCCAAAATCTAAATGAGCTCTGTGTTGAGCCCATATCGTTTCAATCACCACGTGATCTCCAAGGACATCTTCCTAGAATCATAGCTACAGGACCAACGTGTGTTTGCGGAGTCAAAAAATATTTGGATACTAATTTGATCTGCTTTGAGATTAAAGAAAATATATTCAGTACTAAATCGGACTGCGCTTCTCCAGGATACAATAGAATTTTCAGGAACGAAATAATTCAGGAGTTTGTCAAAATAGCCATCCACCTGGCAAGCAAACCAGTATATGGAATCGTTTAACATCTTAATGGCTGCAAAGGAAAAAAATCTAATTTTTTGGCTAACGCAGTCTCAAGAGGCCAGCAGGGCATTTTCAGGGCTATCAGCCAACCGAGCACCACAAACGAGCAAATGGGACATTGCTATGAAGTTTAGAGAGGCACTTTGTAACCTCCTCCAATTTGTGGTTTTGCGTCTTGATGTTTTTCCAACAAATCGAGGGACCTACAGTTTATAATAAGCCGCCTCCGAACGGCTGATGATTTTTTTATAAGGAGCCCATAATTTCTTATCAGAAATACACTCGGAGGGGTTGACATTCCCTTCCGATGGGCGACCGCAATTGGAGAATTTAGCTTAATTTTTCATTTAAATTAATTTTCTATAACTTTTGGATTTTGGTCGTACTAAAACATGAGTTTTCCGAATGGCAATACGCAAATACTAACCACTCGGCTACCACGCCCGCCGATTTAGAACCTTTCAATTTTCTAATTCGTTCTCTCAGCGATCCTTGTGGAAAAGAGAGTATCCAAACAGAACTCTGAAGTTATGTCCTCCGCCTCTGCGATCTGTCCAAGGCTGAGCAGCCCTCAGTCCAACTGTGTTGCAGCTCGCTTAAAGTTCGCCGTAGGGATTCAGTGGGAAAAAGTTTAGAAGAGATCCTGGTGCATTCGTGGCAGACAAGAAAGGCACTGAAGTGATTTATCCAGTGCCAGCTACCAAACGGTGACTAATGTTGTATATATACAAAAGGACAATTAACCCTTTTATGCACCAACGGCCGCTTTGAGAGGCCTTTGAGCTTGAAACTTAGAAGAGAGGTTTGTATCATCTGGTGAAAAGTACAACTTCAATTTTAGCTTAGGTCACCGTCGCTGTAAGAGCGACACAGTTCGCCTACGCTACCGTTCCTTAGCCAGTGCTGCTCAGTTTTCGGAGTATTGTGTTTACAGTGAGACACCACAACAATGGGGATAGAGCTCTTTCATGCAAAATTTATCCTGTGCTCAGGTTGGAATCCATTATTTTCAGGCCACATTTTTAAAGAACACTCACTGAAACTTTGGTTAAAAACTTCATCTATGACGAGACAAACCCCGAGTGGACATTGCTAGAAGAAAGTCCTTTCCTAACACAACGAATCAAGTCGTAGGGCGCTTTATTGGCAAATTTGCCCCTTGATTAAAAATGCTCGTTGCTTGACAGGCTTTCCAATGGTAATTTTTGGCTTATAGTATAGCTGTCAGCAGCCTCTCAAAGATTTTTGGATGAAATGAAGCTGATAGGCCGGAGGAGGACTACTTTTGGCTTGGTTCGCAGATGAAGAATGTAATCATCGCACAAGCTGATGTCGTAAGCCACTCAGCGGAGAAGATGACATCTAGATGTCATCTGGAACTTCATGCGGTTGGATGGATTTCATAATTCATTCCACCTTTTTCCGACAGAAAACATATATATACCGATTTGGTCAGGTCAGTCCTGACCTTTTCAATATCTAATGCAATTCTCTTAACAACACGGAAACAATAATATCTTTGAGTTGGATTAAGCTACTGCGACTTTACAAACATGTCTTGCGTAAGATATGTACGAGCAGAGCTCTAAGGCACCTTTAGGAAACTGCCATAAATTAAGTCATTTCCAGCAACTGCCGTCACAAAAACAAAATCGAGTAAAGCACTCTTAACTCCCTAAAAATGCAAACTTAATGTTTCGAAAATACCCAACGCTGACAAATGTTTGTACTTGACTAACAAAAAGCGGGCCTATTAAACCAAGGAAATGAAAAGATGCTAAAACCTGCTGCTGCTCACCTGCATAAATATTGCATTTAAAAATCACCCAAAAATATGGCAGCACTCAATGCAATGCATTTTTATACAACCGTGAGTGAGTTGGTAAATGGCACGATCTAAGGCGCAGCCGGCCGCGGAAGACTAAGAAATCAGGCTAAAGTTGCACTGACAGCAACCATTTAGTGGAGATGCTTTCGTGTCCGCATGTGTGACACTCAATTTATGTGACACAGACAAAAAACTTTGCCACCAACAATATATAGCAGACGTCAAAAGAACTACAACAACTATATTAACAAAAAAACTACAAATATCTTTGAGCAGCACTGCATGTGAGTAATAACAAAAGCTGTCACGAACCGCTTGGTGCACTCAAAAATATGCAACTACAACGACAAACATACGAGTACATACATGCTCGTATGTGAATAAGGATCACGGTGGTTTCTTCCGTAAACTTTGTTGGCGCACAGTGCGTGAATGTAAACTTAGTTTGTCATAAATTTTGATGTAGCACTTAAATTTTATTTTCATTTTTAATATTTTTTTCTTTTATTTTTACTTTTAATTAAATTTTTTTTTTTAACTTTAGTCATTGTTTCTTTTATTTTTAATTATTTTTTCTTTTATTTTTAAAAACTTATTTAATTTTAACCATTTTTTTAGGCAGTACTTAAAAAAACTTACTTTGCTCTTAATATCTGCTTTTAATTAAAATTTTTTTTTATTTATAACTTTTTTTTATCTGCTTTTTAAATATTTTTTTTTAAATTATTCCTCTTACTTTTAATAATTTTTCCTTTTGTTTTTAATAATTTTTCCTTATAATTTTTAAATGTTTTCTTTTATTTTTTATTAAATTTTTCTTTTATTTTAATCATATTTTCCTTTATTCTCTATAGTTTTTTTCTCTTACTTTAAATATTGTTTTGTTTGTTTGTGCTAATTTTTTCACTTTTTTAAATATTTTCTTGTTTAATATCTTTTTCTTTTATTTTAAACAATTTTTTTTAATTATAACCAATTTTTTTGCAGTACTTAAAAATATTATTTTGTTTTTAATATCTTTGCTTTTAATTAAAATTTATTTTTTTATTTATAATTTTTTTTATCTGCTTTTTAAAATTTTTTTTTAATAATTATTCCTCTCACTTTTAATAATTTTTCCTTTTGTTTTTAATAATTTTTCCTTATAATTCTTAATTGTTTTCTTATATTTTTATAAAAATTTTTTTTATTTTTATCATATTTTCTTTTATTTTTAAAAGTTTTTTTCTCTTACTTTTAATAATGTTTTCTTTTGGTTTTACTAATTATTTCTTCACTTTTTAAATATCTTCTTTTGCTTTTAATAATTTTTTCTTTCATTTTAAATTTAATTCTCCTTAATTTTTAATAGCTTTTTTTTAAATTTTTTTTTATATTTTTTTTTAATATTTTTTTTTTTAATATTTTTCTTAATATTTTTTTTTAATATCTTTTTTGATATATTTTTTTTAATATTTTTTTTTTAATATTTTTTTTGATATTTTTTTTTAATATTTTTTTTAATATTTTTTTTTTAATATTTTTTTTTAANTTATTTTCAATAATTTTTCATTCTATTTTTAATTTTTTTCATTTTCTTTTTTAATAGTTTTTTTATTTAACACTTTAGTTTTTTTTTAATTTATTTATTGATTTCTTTTTACTAATCTTAAATTGTCGATATATACATATATTACTTACAAATATCTGCCGGAAAACGATTTATATATTTTTTTTATTTGAAAAAAAATTATATGTTAAATAATTTTTTTTGTTATTATCCTTTTAACATGTTTTGATTCTGACTCACAACATTTTGTTTGTGTTTGAAACCAACTATTCTATTGGAATTTTTTATTGGAAGTATTAACCAAACTTTTATTCCAAAAATGGACCTTCAACACAATCACTTTTAACTTCTTAGTATTGGGTTCTCTAGAAAATTCCGAGAAAATTAATCTGATAGCGACTCAATGACACAATTTATAAAAAAAAATTGAAATATTTTTGACAGCTTCCCACTGTGCAGTTGCCCAGTTGTTTCAAACCGGCAAACTTTACATGCCACATTGAAGGGAATTTATGTCAAAAATTATTTGAATGCATTAAACGAATTCAAGTACATTTGCATATGTATGACTAAGTATATGTGTGTGTGTGTGTGGAGTGTGTTGCATGACAGCCAATCGTGTGTGGCATGCAGTATGCATTCATTTCTCTTACATACGACTTGGCGGCTCGCTCAAGGCAATTCACATGCCATCCATAATCGAGAGTACCGACTGCAGTAACTAACACAGCCAATACTAACCGAGAAGCAAAGCAGCAGCGGCCGCGTTGCAACTACCCAACCAATTAAGCCAACACACCGTCAATAAGCCAAACGGAATATTCGAATATGCGAGTGTCCTTCAGAACTCGCAGCGCATTCGCTTAATGAATTTCAATGTGAATTTCTGTCATTCAACTGTGTACGGCACGTTGCATACATAACGTACCTAGCAACAGCAACAGCAACAACAAATGGTATTGCAGCTGTTGCCCATTGCGATTTTCATTAGCAACGCGCGAAATTTTGATTGATTTTGCGTGTTGCACGAATAGCTGCAAGTTGCAAGTTGCATGTGGCAAGTTGCAAGTTATAAGTTACACTAAGCAATTTGCAACTTTGCACGCCAAGCATACACCGCGTGTGCAGCCACGCCGCCCACATTCACCCGAAATTATCTCTGCGACTGTTCTGTTTCTTCTTTTCTGCGTGCTTTGGTTTTCTCATTTAATTCAGTCACCCACTCTCCCACTCTCCCGCTCTCCCGCTTTTCCGCTCTCCCACTCACTCACTCATTCACTCACTGCGACTTACCTCAATTATCTGCATTAGCACATCGAAAATCAACTGCGTACTACTCTTGAAATCCACGCCTGACTGTGCTGTAAAGTAACGGTAATTCTTAGTTGCTATATCCTCGCTATAACGTGACGCACCGCCTCCACCAACCATCGACGCATCTGTACCACGGCGTTCTGTTGATCGGCCCTCACCGCTGGCGCCGCTTGCCAGTTCGGCTTCATTTGCACTGTTGTTGCTGTTGGTGGAGTATTGTTCCATTTGTTGCCACATAAAATTCAAATCATATTGATTGACTCTAAATTGGTTAGTGCCAATGACAGTGTCACGCAGCCGGCAAGCGAAGGCAGCGTAATTGAAGTGTGCGCCAGTCTCAGCGCGTAGCTCGCGCTCTAAGTTGGGATGGTAGAAAATGTTCGCTTCGGAGACGAGTAACTGCACTTTGTGTAACTTTTTAAGGCTGCAAAGAGAAAGAGAGACAGAAAGGGATGGGAAAATTATTGAAATGAAATTTAAGAAAATTTGATGCATTAAGGCTGAGGCGTTGGAATAAGACAATTCGAACGAAATTTCATTTATTATTTATTTAAAGCTCGCATTTATAAAAAGGTATGCAAAATTTTAAGCAAAATTACATATAAATTAATAATACACACATACATATATTTGAAAAAAAATAAATACTGATTTTTTACGATTTTAAGTACACCCCTGCGTATACGTCACCTCCTTGAGCTGATATCGGTTAATCTGAAGAAAATAGTTACGAGAAAAGGATCGCCGACAGATTGAAAAAAATTAGGATGATTTGGATATATAGGTGGAGGTCGTGCATAGGTAGGTTCGCATCGCATTTTTATAATTTCCCGCCTGAGTATGAATCAGCCTGGATTCGAATGGCACATTGGAATTACTTTGAAGCAATGACATTTGCGTGAATGACTTTGAACAGCGAAGAAGTGACCCATATAATATATATATATATATATATATATATAAATATGCAGTTAGATCAATCTTTATACATAAATCTTATATTTTCTTGTACAGAACCGCATAACTCGAAATGTTACCGCCCGTCTGAAATTTTTAAATGATAATCCTGCAAGTCATTCCTCGAACAACAGTAGCGGACGAAATCAAAGTTTGCCTAAATACTTAAAGTTGTGGTGATCTGTACAAACCCTGTAATAAGCTCAAAAATGTGTCAGCCCACGAAATGATCCATGGCCTATGTATTTTCACTCCACTTACTAGAAATGGGAAACGGCCAAATGCCCGGACTTCTGGAAGGATTAGATTACCTGATAGCTTTTGTACTTCCGTGACATCAAAAGAATTGATTCACGGAGTATTACCAAATATCCTAGTCAATAATGGGAAGCATGGATGCCTGAGTGAGCGAACCGTCCTCGCTGCAGCAAACTAAGATGTCTATGAACCGAAGCGAGTCCGTCACATATTATAAAACGGTTCAAAAAGTTGGAAGAAGTTTTTTCTATATGTATAAAATTAATTGTACTGAATGACTGACGGATCAACGCATACTTATCGTAGTGACCTGAACTTGGCGAGAACATCCGAGTAGAAAGCATTTTTCAGCATAACAGCCACCAGATGACAAAAAAAATGCGGAGAGACTAAGTGTCAAAGTGTCTGTTAGGCACCAAATTAATTTTCCTTACTTAATTTAGTCTTCCCCAAAAATTTTAACTGTGGATGTTCCACAGGTGGGCCTTAGTTGGCATTTTTAGGTGAAGATTGATCCATTTCGAGATTCTCCACTTTTTTAAAGGAAGGAGACAGAGAAAATTCTAATTGAAGTGTTAAAGTTTTTTATCATTCGAAGGAATATTCCCTGGCAATTAGTTTTTAAAGATTATTCCTTGCTAATGTTGGCCGCGGCTACGTCTCAGATGGTGCATCCGTTGAGTTCAATTTTCGCTGACTCCTTCAAGCATTTACTCCAAAGCCTGCATCCAAGCGGGACTACCCGCATAGACTCTAGACACAGAAAAGAGTCAAACGGTATGATATCGCACGATCTTGTTGGCCAATCGGCCGGCGCCAAACGTGAAATTTTCTGCTCACCGCAGTGTTCTTTCAAAAAATCCACTGATTGATGCGATGTGTGGGTAGTGGCGCTATCTCGTTGAAACCGAATGTCACCAGCGTCAACTTCCGGCAATAAATAGTCGGTTAGCATGGCGCAATAACGGTCGCCATTAACGGCATCATTTTTAAAGAAATATGGACCGATGATTCCACCGGCCCACAAACCACACCAAACCTCAAGTTTTTCCTGAATGAAATGGCAGCTCTGAATCCCTTCAGGTTGCTCTTCGTCCCAAAAGCGGCAAGTTTGCTCTTATATTTACCCATTGAGCAGAAAATGGGCCCCATTGGTGAAAAAAATTTGGCTCGAAAACTTCAGATCATCTTGGAACCTTTCAGGAGCTCATAGAGCGAAGCGTTATCACTTAAGAAAGTCTAACGGCCACAGTATCAAGAGCGACATGACAAAGTCATCCTCCAATACGACAATGCTCGGCCTCACGTCGCAAAAGTGGTCAAAAAGTACCTGGAAACGCTGAAATGGGAAGTCTTGACCCACCCGCCGTATTATACAGATGTCGCTACTTCTGACTTCTACCTATTCCGTTCGATGGTACACGTCCTGGCAGATCAACATTTTCAATCCTTCGAAGAATTGGAAAAAGCGATTGCTTCATGGATAGCGCCAAAAGAGGACTCCTTTTTTCGAGCCGGGATCCGAAAATTGCCGGAAAGATGGGAGAAAGTTGTCGCTAGCCAAGGACAATACTTTGAATATTGTACTGTATTGGCGGAAGCAAAGTTGAACACCGGTAACATGACAATTTGACAAGACTCATCTTGATCTGTTAAAAAAAGACTATGAAAAAGGTACGTCTATTTGGATCACCCTATATAAATATTTTTTTATTGATAATTATTATTATTTTTTTATATATTGAATCAAATCGATATTTCGAAAATCTTTATTAATATTTATAATAACGCGATGCCAAGATAAGCAACAATCAGAAAATAAAAAATAAAAAAATCATCAGCGCTTAAAACGCAGAAACGTATTACGGCCAAGATTCCTGTCAAATGAGCTCAGCCACTGCATCTGCCATAAATCAAAACATGCAAATATCTAAAGAGTGAAATGGGTCAAGAAGAATTACAAAATAGGCATAATAACTCCAAGGAAAATTTCTTTCATTAAAAAACTACACAAAATACACCAAGAAAATTATTTTTTTGGATTTAAGATAGATTCGTTTTCTAATTTCTATCTCTAAAGAGAAATGCAATAATTATTTCGACTTTACTTTCGATTTAATATACAGACATATGTATATACTCGCACATACCATCAGCATTGATAAATCATCTAACCAACACCAACGTTAGACACTTCCTTTCATCAATTCTATGTAAAATACAAAAGACTTCCTACCTTCGTAGACATAATACGAACGCTCACACACACACATTTATCTTCACAACTCGCATATTTCATTGATAATTTTGCTATGGAAATAACCACCGTCTTCCTTCCTCTATGGTACCGCCAGCCGCCAACCACAGCTTTGCCATTATCCACCCGCACATGGTGGGTGCAAATGCCTTCCTGGCAAAATTATATCGCTGCCATTGCCTACTTTATCAACGCCTTGACGACATTGTATTGTTTGGTATGGTTAATTTTGCTACGTCTAAGATTTGCATCAGCCTTCAGCTGGACGTGTGTGTGCGCGCCTAAAAGCAGGCTGCTATAAATGTTGCGCCAGTCGTAGCTATTAAGCTGTACGAAATAGTATCTATGCGAGGAACATATTGCTGCTTTCAGTCACTCTGGTATGTATGTATGTGTGTGTGAACACGTGTGATATTGTATGCATATATGTACATATGTACATATATATAAATTCTAGTACATCATAACTGATAAATTAATTTTCTTTGTTCTTAAACTCAATCGTATACTATTTTATCTACATAAATAGTATGTATGTACATAGAGGATGTATATACATAGATGTCTCGTGTATAATTTGTCTTAGTTTCTGCTGCTCATACATTTATTGTGGCTTCTCGGCTGCGCTTATCAATAGACAATAAAGATAAATAATGAAATTTCTATTATTAACATAACCAATACAGTCTTATATTATGCCATACGTTGCGCGTGGGGATATAAGAATTGTTGCCTACATTCAGGCGCTTATTGCAGGAGTATCATTTTATATATGCACTCGTATGTACCCTGCAGATGAAATCATACCAGTTTACCAGTAATGGGTGTAATACCCATTTTCATCACCGCCTTGTTGTTGTTAAGTTTTGTGCGCCACGACTGAGTTTCATTCTCAGTTACGTTCTATTACCGCTCGACACATCATGAGAATAGCCAAGGTTATCATTATAGCGCGCGAGGTTCATGATTCAAGTCTCTCTGCGCGTTAACTCATTTTTCATTTTATTTTATTTTTGAAGAAAATACAAATGCCTAATTGAACTAGTATACAACTGGTATAAAGCTGATGCATAGTCGTAAAATTGACAGTTCGTAGGACATCACCGTATTGAAAATACCAATTGTTTGCATGGAAAATAGCTCGAAGATGGCTTTCCACATGATCCTTTTAATGGAGTGGAAGTCGTCCATTTTCTATGTTTCCCCCGGCGGGCTCTGCATCGAATGCTTTCAAAGCTGAGTCGTCGGTAGAAGATCGTTGCAGAATCGCAATTGGTGATCTACTGCAACGTCAAATGAATGCGGTGGTGGACGCAGGGCAGTGAGCCGGCACAAACGATCCCTAAGGCAGGCTTGACGACCTGTTATGTATTTCGTGGGCTAATCAAGGAATCATTCACTTTGAGCTGCTCCCCTACGACTAAGCTCTGTCAGCAATTGGAACTTATGAAGGGAGAAATAACTCAGAAGCGTTCAGCTTTGGCCAATGAACAGGGATTTTGTTTTCATCGAGACAACGCCAGGCCACACAGATCGATAATAACGCGCGAGAAGGGAGTGATTACTATCTGTTCCGGTCTATGGTAAATGATTTGGCTGGTGAGGAATTGGCCTCAAGAGAATCCTATGAAAACGGAATGCCCAATAGGGGCATGGTTGACATACATCACTAAACCTTATATGTCCGCCGGGTCTCCTAGTAGATCAAACTTCCAATTTCAGCACACAAAATAACTATTGAGGAAAAAACAGAAAAAGTTTTCGTCGGATGCGCTCATAGAGAAGTACTATGAGGATATGGAATCCAAAGTTAGCAACAGCTTGTAATTAAAGTTTGCATTTTGATGGACTTTTAATTTCACTTTTACATAAACCGTTAAAGTTCTGCACCATTACATCCATTTGCGCACAATACTAGTTTATATGTCAACACGCTCCGCACTTACATACTC